CTGAAAAACTAAAACATGAACTATCTCCTGTACAACACACACACAGAACAGACTCACCATCATCAGCACCTCTTCTGTCACAGAAACAACTCACATAATCCACAGAGTCGAGTCATTTAGTCCAAAAGAAACTGAATCACATCAGCGACACAAGGAGCGAGTTGTTTTTATCACCGCTAACAGTTTATGCTAATTAGCCAAACGGTCTTAAGTTTCGTTTCTGTAAAACGTAAACAAATGTGATCAGAGCTGAATGATCTGATCAAACAGCTGATGTGTCTATAGTGTTTATGGTTTAGATGTTGTAAAGTTGAGTTTATTTGTTGTTTGTTGGTTTGATGTGAGCAGTGGATTGTGGGAGATCTCGTAGCTCGTTAGCTTCTTATGCTAAAGGAGCTCACGGTTTGTATTTTTCCTGGTTTATTAAATTGATTTAAGTTCATTTTTGTGCATTTGTAAGATTATGTGAAGAAACCAGGACACTCCATTTGATCATGTCCACGTGGACATGAGTGTCCAGGTTTGTCAGTGAACATGTAAACACAGAAACACGAACACTGACATGACCAGGACATGGAGAATAACCAGGACACTGATGAACATGTGACTCACTCATTGACTTGAGGTTCTGGTTCAAGAGTATAAGCTGGATTTAAAGCTGCATCTTAAATAAATGATAATGTTAGAAAGAAAATGTTAAATATTAAAAATGCTTTTGTTGCTTTTGAAAATGTTTAGAATTGATTATAAGATACATACTTTTTGTGAGTTCAGTCCTAAATGTCTGAGTTCCATATTTTATTATGTAGTTTCTTTTCAAAACACACTGGTATTGTCCAGAGTCAACTCTGGTCCCACTGACGAGGCTCACGTACATGATACACGTACATGATACACGTACATGATACACGTACACGATACACGTACACGATACACGTACACGATACACGTACACACACGTACATACACGTACACGATACACGTACATGATACACGTACATGATACACGTACACACGTACATACACGTACATACACGTACATATACACGTACACGATACACACGTACACGTACACGTACACGTACACGATACACGTACATACACGTACATACACGTACACGTACACACGATACACGTACACGATACACGTACATACACGTACACGATACACGTACACGATACACGATACACGTACACGATACACGTACACGTATACACGTACACGTACACGTACACGTACACGATACACGTATACACGATACACGTACATACACGTACACGATACACGTACACGATACACGTACACGATACACGTACACGTATACACGTACACGATACATACACGATACACGATACACGTACACGATACACGTACACGATACACGTATACACGTACATACACGTACATACACGTACACGTATACACGTACACGACACGTACACGTACACGATACACGTACACGATACACGTACACGTACACGATACACGTACACGATACACGTACACGATACACGTACACGATACACGTACACGTACACGTACACGTACACGATACACGACACGATACACGTACATACACGTACACGTACACGATACACGTACACGATACACGTACATACACGTACACGATACACGTACATACACGTACATACACGTACACGATACACGTACACGTACACGTACACACGATACACGTACATACACGTACATGATACACGTACATGATACACGTACATATACACGTACACACGTACATACACGTACACGTACACGATACACGTACATACACGTACACGTACATACACGTACACACGTACACGACACGTACACGATACACGTACACGATACACGATACACGATACACGATACACGATACACACAGATACACGTACACGATACACGTACACGATACACGTACATACACGTACACGTACACGTACACGATACACGTACATACACGTACATACACGTACACGACACGTACACGTACACGATACACGTACACGATACACGTACACGATACACGTACACGATACACGTACACGTACACGATACACGTACATGATACACGTACATGATACACGTACATGATACACGTACATGATACACGTACATGATACACGTACACGTACAGATACACGTACACGTACACGTACACGTACACGTACATATACACGTACATGTACACGTACACGTACACGTACACGTACACGTGATACACTGTGCCTGATAACAGACACTGAGCACTGCTCACAAAATATACTTATTTTTATAACATGATTCAAATAACACAAACATATGTCACACTGACTTCATTTATTTAGTCTAAATGATATAAGACTGATGACATCAAATTACATGTAAAATATTTATAGTTGGTTTTAATAGATTTAGACAGGACGTGTATGGAGCCTCTTACTGTTGTTAAATGTTAGTAGAGTCAAAACTGCAACAACAAACAGAAAAACAAATACAGCCTGTGTGCACCTCCCCCCGTTTCACAAAGTTACAGTAAAAAGCTGCTAAACTAAAGCCAAATCTGATCATTTTATGGAATACAGTTTTGCAAAGATAAAAGTTTAAAGGTATAGATCAGTTTAGTCAGAAAAGGTCAGTGTAACTCACCGAGAAACAGGAGAACAGCCACACAGAGCCTCATAGTTGTTCTTTTATTTGCAGAGACGTTTATAATGCTGCTGTCTGCTCTAACACACTTTATCTAAACAGGAACAACTGGGCTTTTTAATAAGTAAAATCAATGTTCTCTTTCTATCCCACTTCCTTAAAAAGGAGGTATTTTTTTCCTAGTGAGTATTAACTGCTCACAAATAACACATTTAGAGCAAAAATTTAGTCTCAGCATGAAAACTGTCTTATTTATTGAAACTAACACTTTGATTCTTAAAGATGCACTATGTCACTTTTTGGTTGGGAGTCTGTCTCTACTTTCTACATGTCATTTCTCTGTCTGGAAATGTTCCACAGTATGACATTAAACATCTGTTACATTTAGTCAGTTACAGGTGGTTTTAAAGCTCAAACTTTCTGTCTGTGACTGTAACTGGGTCTGGGTTGGTTTCCATGACGATGATAAGGTTTAATGCCATACTGTGAAACATTTCAGACAAAACAATAACATCTTCATGGAGACTTTTTTTTTTTTTTTCAATCTTTTGCACTCAGTTATTTCTCTGTACAGTTGGAGCACTGAAAAAAAAAGGTCGCTGGATTTGTGTAAAAAAGTTCTGGAAAAGAGCTGCAGGCAATAAAATGATGTTTAGGCTTTGAAACTTCATTTGATCTCCTCTACACATATTTTTCTCACAACATGAACGTCACTTTTTCATGTTGATGAAATTTGATTAAATCCTGCTGAATATGCAGATTTATCTTATGTTGCCTTATCATGAAATGTATAAGTTTGTATAATTTAATTTAATTGATCTAATTCTGTAAAATAATACAAAAAACAGTCTTTAGTTTTCCACATTTCTGTTTTGTCTTAAACAGAATCAAACACACAGAGACACACAGTTTGGAGCTGGACAGTGTGAAGATTTATTCCAGTGAAGCTCTGGTCTGTGGACACAGAATCACACATGATGATCACATTCTGATCATCTACTCTGTTCTACATGTTTAAATACACTTAAAGTATTTATTACTACAATAATGGACCAGAACAGAAGAACAAGAACATTAGAAGTGTATCTGCAGAAACAAAACTCACCATGTGCTGCTTTTCTTCCTCTAAACACAGTAACAGGGAGGGCATCTGGTATAAAGTCTCCTAGTGCCACATCACCCTGTAGAAACACAATCACTGTTTCAATAGAAGTTACATTTTGAAATATTTGTTTAAAATCATTTGAGTTGGTTTATTTACTTTGTTCATCTGTGTTTTGTTCTCAAACATCTTCCTTTTTTCTGAAACATCAACTGTAACATTCATGAACTTCCTCACAGCTGCAGCAGAACCTGGACGTGTCTGTGTTTGTAGACGACTGGAACAAACACATTTAAATCTGAGTCCAACTGTCCCACTCTTGTAGATGAACAGTCAAATAGAATTTGTTTCCAGGAGTCCTGACATTAACTCTAATTTCAAATAAAACACCACAAACATGTTTTAACAATGACGACTTTCTAGTCCAGAGAAACAGATAAAATCTTTGAAAAGTCTCACCTCCAGATCAGCTCCATGATCCTCCTGCTCCACACTGTGTCTCTGCTCTTGTCTCTGTCCTGTTACATCTGAAGTTTCCCTCCAAAAGTTTTGTGGAGGAGAATTCCAGAGGGACGAGCCTCACCACAGATTAGAATAAAATCATGTTTCCTCAACCTGATTAAAACCTGCAGGTTGAACATCAGACACAATCACGTGACCTTTGTAACATTTAAACATGCTTCACAGAGAAACGTAAAAAAGTCATGTTATTGTTGTAAAAATTTTTTTTTTTGCAATTTGAGCAACTCCTCTTGGGCAATTTTTTTCAGTGAGTCTTGGCCAAGTTGATGATGAAGCAAACCAAACTGTAATTCTGTTTAATTATGACTCATTTGCTGCCCTAGTGTATTTTGTATATAATATTTCATGTATGTAGGACCAGGGTGGTGGGTGGGTGGGTTTGGGTCAGTTTAGTTCTAAGGGTGGGGTTGTTGGGCTAGAAAGTGTTGAAAAAAATACAAAATAAAAATAAATAAATAAATGAAATAATAAAAATATAATAATAATCATCATCAGAACTTGACCTGAAATAAATACACTAAAAAGCTTTATATTTTTGCATTGTTTTATACTGTATTTCTTTTGTATTTTAGACACAGAAAGAGGAGAACTTTTTCAGGACTTTCTCATTCAGACATTTTAATCATGTTTAATGAAATGATAATGTTTAAACAGGTCTGAAAAATGTTTAGTTTACAAGGAAATGACACACATATGAAAGAAAACGACATTTTAAAAGATTTTAAAATGTTATTCTGTTTTCCCCTCGACAAAAACATACCCAGAATTGTATTTTGTTTCATTCACATGTTTATTTAATCCATTAATTCAAAGTCGTCTTCTCTGAACACTCAAAAATGTTTATTATTATTTTGCCTGGATTGTTGCGTCACATGTAAAAATATTCCCGACATATTCAGCATCACTTTTGACATGACTGGGTGTAGTCAGAGGCTTTGATCAGCAGGGGGCGGTGTTGCTGCTGGGTGGGGGCTGTGGGTGGAGGGAGCTGTAGATGTGGGTGTGGTCTCTTGTGTCTGCACTGAGACTCTGGTAAGTGGAGTCTGCAGGCTCTGAAGGGGGAGCTGGACAGTTCTCGTTCATTACAACCTAAAAATACAAGAGACACGTGAGAATAAAAAGTGAGATGTGAAGTGCTCAAAGCCTTTACTTCTACTCAACACTGGTTTTCATGTTTAGTGTAAAAGAGTTCATGTGATTTAAGTCACAGATATAAGAGGTTTTGACTGTAATAATACACAACGTGACACAATGATGAGTCCATTTTCATTCTCAGCCCTTGACATCTTCATCAGATCCAGTGTAAATATGTAAACCTCACCTCATCATTTGCTTCATTCTCTGCAAATACAAACATGGACAGTGAACAGATTGTGGATTGATCAATTCATATTTCAGATGAGCAAATACATTTCCTCATTGGCCAAAAATATTTTCTCTTACCATTTTGTACTTTCCTTTTTCTGTAGAAGACCAGTGCACACAGTGTGATTAGGACCACAGGGATCAGAGTCAACAGCAGCAGAAACCTGGACACTGGACAGAAAAGTAGTGACCTAATCAATCTGGATCAGAAAAACTCAGACAATACAAATAGAGAAGGATCAATAACACAAGTGTCCAGCCTCCAGCTGCACATCTCCACAGTATCTGATGGTTTTGTCTGCTGCTCATGATCAGAAGATGTTGTGGACTGTTGTGTTGTAGTCACAGACATGAGTGAAGTCTGGTCACCTGTTTGTACAGTCAGGTCCATATCAGTGGTGGGTTTCACAGTGACTGTAGGTTCTGGTTGAAGAGTATAAGTTGGATTTAAAGCTGCATCTGAAATAAAAAAAATAAAAAAAGATAACGTTAGAAAGAAAATGTTATAAAACTGCTTTTGAAAATGTTTAGAATTGATTATAAGATACATACTTTTTGTGACTTTAATCCTAAATTCATGGTTTCCATCTATTATGTAGATTCTTTCCAAAACACACTGGTATCGTCCGGTGTCAGCTTTGGTCACATTGGTGATGTTCACGTACATGATATAACGATTCCATAAACCTTTGTATTCATATTTAATGCAGTATCTTCCTTCACATCTCTCATTTTCTGAAGTCTTGACCAAAATGTTTTCTTCTTTGTCACAGTTATTTTTACAGAAGATCTTTGTGTGTCCATTTATATAAAACTGACATCCAACTGTGATGTTTCCTCCTTCAGCCGCCTCATAAACTCCCTCTGCTCTGATGAAACCAGACAGTCCATACAGCACTGTTCACAAAATATATGCATTTTTTTTACGTGATACCAAAAACACAAATATATGTCACATTTACTTTATTTATTTATTCTGAATTATACAGGATTGATGAAATAAAGTTAAGCCATTGATGTTCATTTTGTCTTCTTATAGACTTTAACTTCTTGGGTTCTTTTTAAAGACAATGCAGTAAAGTGTATTTACCTTGTTGACATGTTTCGGCTGCTGCATCTTCAGATCTGTCCTGTGTTGGTGGTGACGTGTCGTATATCAGCTGTTGTTACTTCCTGTAGGCGTGGTCAGACCTGATGGACCTGCAGGTCGCTCAGACTGACCACGCCTCCCGTCGCCCGGTGTCTCTGGAGGAGGGTGTCCCAGGTGTGTTATCAATAAAACCAACAAACCCCGGAAAAAAACACAACAATGCAACACAGGGCAGCAGGACAAGAACATAGTCACACTACCGAACATCAGAGGAATAACCGAACCCATCCAGAGACATGAAAAAACACAACAGAAACATTGGAGTAAAACCAGACACAAAACTCCGCCAACTACTCGTACACCCAAGGACAAAATCCACAAGAAAAAAATGCAACACCATCTACGAAATCAATGCAAATCATGTAATAAATCATACACAGGGGAAACAGGCCGAGGCATTTCACATCCGAAAAAGGAACACAAAAGGAATGCGAGAAAGGAAACGTCAGGGAGACTCACCAGAACAACAAAAAGACAAAGCAGAACAGGAAAACCTAAAATCCGCCATATCAGACACTGTAAAAGGAACAACCACATTATGGATCAGGTCGGGGCTCGGGTCATTGGATCAGAAAACAACAAGTTCAAACTCTGGATCAAGGAGACGGTGAAATCAGGAAACGAGGCTCGGAGCATTAACCGTGATGACGGAGCGTTCCTCCTTTCACACACCTGGGACACCCTCCTCCAGAGACACCGGGCGAGGGAGGCGTGGTCAGTCTGAGCGACCTGCCAGGTCCATCAGGTCTGACCACGCCCACAGGAAGTAACAACAGCTGATATACGACACGTCACCACCAACACCAGGACAGATCTGAAGATGCAGCAGCCGAAACATGTCAACAAGGTAAATACACTTTACTGCATTGTCTTTAAAAAGAACCCAAGAAGTTAAAGATGAAATAAAGTTACATATAAAATAGTTCTAGTTTATTTGAACACATTTAAAACTGGATGGAGCCTCTTACTGCTAGAAACATACTACCACCACTGCTGCTCTCTAACCTGCACATAGAAGACACAACAAGTTCTTCTCCTTCTCACTATATGGGACAGAACATGTCTCATGTGAAAGTCAGAACCCAGATCCCTCACTGAGCTGCAGAAGCTGCACTAGCACCGACTCATGATGCTGCAGGTTCTGGGGGCTTGTGATGATTCGATCGAGAGGCAATTAGTTTAAACCAACTGGATTTCAGCACTGAAACTGGCAACACAAATGAGTCCAGACGACCACCGCTGAACCTTCTACACTAACCACGAACGAACGAATCAGGATCACAAAACACACAAGATTATAACATGAACAACTTGGCCCTCTGTCCAGTGTTTTTGTCATTAAGAATAAATCATCAGCTTTACATTTGTACAAGTTTAAGACAAGAATCAACTGACAATCTCACATACAGTCTTTAAACGTTTTAGAAAACAATAAACAACAGAAAAACAAATACAGCCTGTGTGCACCTCCCCCCGTTCACAAAGTTACAGTAAAANTCAGAGGGACCTTCAACTCGCACCTCCGGGAGGACTTCTCCCGGTTCCGGGGGAGGCTGGAGTATGGAGTCCGAGTGCTTCATTCTCGCCTTATTGTCAATGCGGCTGCTCGGCTGTGGGCGTAAGGTCTGTGGTGCCTGTCCGGCGCAACCCCAGAACGGTGGTGGACACCGGAAGTAAGGATGCTGTCAGCTGAAGAAGGAGTCCTATGGCCTTGCTGGCTCGGGGGACTCCTGAGGCAGCTGACGGGTACCGGCGGGGCCAAGCGTGCTGCAGCCCGTGTGGTCGCGGAGGCAAAAACTCGGAGCTGGGAGGAGTTCGGGGAGCCGGAGAAGGACTATCGACGGCCTCAAAGAGATTCTGGCAAACCGTCCGGCGCCTCAGAGGGGAAAGCATTTCTTCACCAACACTGTTTACAGTGCGAGAGCTGCTACCTCGACGACGTTGTCCGCGGTGAAGGACACTTTGAGGATCTCTCAATCCCACCGTCACGTCCTCCGAGGAGGCCGAGGCTGGGGACTCGGAGGGACTCATCCATCACCCTGGCCGAGTCACTGAGGGGTTGGAAGCTCCTTGGTGGCAAGGCTCCGGGTTGGATGAGATCCGTCCTGAGTACCTGAAGTCTCTGATTTGTGGTCTTGGCTGACACGCCTCTTCAACACGCGTCGGTCGGGGACAGTACCTCTGACTGGCAAACCGGGGTGGTGTCCCTCTGTATAAGAAGGGGACCGGAGTGTTGTTCCAACTATAGGGGGATCACACTTCTCAGCTTCCCGGTAAGGTCTATGCCAGGGACTGGAGAGGAGAATCCGGCCGATAGTCGAACCTCGGATTCAGGAGAGCAGTGTGGTTTTCGTCTGGCCGTGGAACACTGACCAGCTCTCACTCTCCATCGGTGCTCGAGGTTCATGGGAGTTTCCCAACCAGTCCACGTGTGTTTTTGATCTGAGAAGCTTTCGACGTCCTCGTGGTGTCCTGTGGGTGCTCTGGGGTATGGGGTCCGGGGCCCTTTCTAAGGCGTCCGGTCCCTGTATGACCGGAGCGAGCTGTGTTCATTGCCGGCAGTAAGCAGACCTGTTCCCGTGCATGTTGGACTCCGCAGGGCTGCCCTGTCACCGGTTCTGTTCATTGTTTTATGGACAGAATTTCTAGGCGCAGTCAGGGGTCAGAAGGGGGTCCGGTTTGGGACCACAGGATCTCATCTGTGTTGCGGACGATGTTGTTCTGTTGCTTCATCGAAGCCAGGACCTGCATGTGCACGGGCGGTTTGCAGCAGTGTGAAGCGGCTGGGATGGGATCAGCTCTTCCAAGTCAGAGGCCATGGTTCTCGACCGGAAAAGGTGTCTTGCCCTCTCGGGTGGGTGGGAGTCTTTGCCTCAAGTGGAGGGTTCAAGTATCTCGGGGTCTGTTCACGAGTGAGGGAGGAACGTGAGATTGACAGGCGGATCGGTGCAGCTTCGGCATGATGCGGCGCGTATCGGTCGTGTGGTGAAAGGAGCTGAGTCGAAAGGCGAAGCTTCTCGATTTACCGGTCAGTTTCGTTCCTACTCTCACCTATGGTCATGAGCTCTGGGTATGACCAAAGGACGAGATCTGGATACAACGCTCGAAATGAGTTTCCTCCGCAGGGCGGGGCGCTCCCTTAGAGACATGAGGAGCTCAGTCACACGGAGAGTTGGAGTAGGCCGCTGTCCTCCACGTCGAGAGGAGCCAAGTCCGGATCCCTCCTGGGCCTCCCTCGGGAGGTGTTCCGGCATGTCCCGCGGGAGGCCCCGGGAAGACCCAGGACACGCTGAGACATGTCTCTCGGCTGGGAACACCTCGGTCCCCCGGAGGAGATGGGGTGAAGGACGTTGTCTGATGGTGAAGGAAGTCTGCTGGACAGTCCCTTGCTTAGGCTGCTTGCCCCCGCACTGAACCCGGCCCCAGATGTTGATCTAAAATGCATGGATGATGGAGGACTGCTGGGAAAATCAGGAGCCAGTGGTTGTGTCCTTAGGCAAGGCACTTCACCCACATTGCCTAGTAAGTAAAAGTGTTGTGTGTGTGTGAGTGATGGTGGTGGTCAGAGGGACTGATGGCGCCACTTGGCAGCCACACTTCAGTCAGTCTGCCCCAGGGCACCTGTGGCTACAATAGTATCTTACCACCACGGGGTGTGGAGTGACTGAATGATGCTCTGTAAAGTGTCTTTGTGACAAATGTCTGTGAAAAGTCCTACATATTGTTTCTCAGTCAAAGGTGTCAGGTCAGTTGAACAGGAGGACTGGTCAGGGAGGGTCAGCAGATTTGTGTCAGGGCAGTTTGAGGAGAGGAAGAGCCAAAAGTGTCTCTCCTCAGTGTCCTGCAGCATCACAACAGCCTCCAGGGGGCGCCAGGTGAACACAACAGGAAAGGCCTCGCTCTTACTCTTCTCTGGGGTTTCAGTTGGTGATGAGGGGTCAAGATTGTTTTTTCTAAAAAATGTTTTCTCAAAATTAAACTCTAAATCAAGTCCTTTTTATTTTTATTTTTATTCTGCATTTAAAGGGATGATTCAGAATAAGTTCATGCTAGGATCCTTTGCACCGTGACCTCTACATTTACATCTGTAGTCAACTGCTGCTGGATAATGGGTCGGGTTTAATTGTCGACCAAATTGGGAGAAATGGGGAGAAATTCTGATGCAAATTGATGATAAAGAAAATGTGGGAACATAGGGTTTAATTTTAAAAAAACTTATCAATGAGGGAACATAAAGCTGAGGGAACATAGACACGCTCCCAGTGATGAAATGGTTCATTCCCTCACAATATTTTCTCTGGAAGATCTTCTCCCACATTTGCTGTCACATATATAAATAAAAAACATACTTACTTCACCAAACTCAAACTTCCCATTGTTCATTCCCATTGCTGACAGCAGAGGGAGCTCCAACATATAAATGCACCACTGGAAATGGAGCTAATACCTTGATTTTTGTTGTAGTTTTTTTTCCCCCAAATGTAAATATTATTAAAGGTGCATTATGCAGCTTCTGAGACAGACAGTTCTCTACTTGCTTGTGTCCATGGAGATGTTATTTCTTTACCTGGAATGTTCCACAGTCGGGCATTAAACATATTTCCATTGTATTTTTTCATGAATTCTTCCCATGTGCAGGCTTGCTTCTCCATAGATCTGACCATTAACCTGTCTCCATTGTGATTACCAAATGTATTCTCATACTGTGGAATAATCAAGGCAAAGCAGTAATATCTCCATGGAGACGAGCAGGTGGCAGAACCTTCACCAAAATGTTACACAGTGAACCTTTAAATGAAATTCTAACCTCATGGTGAAAAAAGAGAATTAAAGGAACCATTTTAGATCCACAGAATTTTCAGTTTTATTTTTTCTAAAGATGAAAATTTAAACATATTCAGCATCACTTTTGACATGATTGGTGAATTGAATTGTTATTGCTTTGTCTGGAATGTTCCACAGTACGGCATTAACCTTTCTATCTTCATGGAGACCAAACCAGACGGTGTTCCAGGTCAGATCTGTGGAGAGGCGACTCTGCTCACAGTCAGAATGCCTGTTTTTCTGGGTATTTTAGAGCAATAAAACCACCTGTAATTGAATAAATGTAAGGTAGAGCTGTTTAATGTCACACTGTGGAACATTCCTGGCAGAGCAATGACATAACCACGGAAACAACCAAATGATGGACCCTTCACCAGAAAAGTGAATGTTTTGGACAATAGACATGTGTTCTGACATTCATACAACAGTGGCAGTGTTGGACTCCATCATAATAATGACTGAATTTGATCAATTTAGTCATGATTTCTTAACATTAATTTAATATGTCGCCCATTACACATTATAAAACACCTTAATATTAAAAACACTCTCTCTCTGTCCATCATGTGTCCATATTTGCTGTTTTTTTTGTCCTTCTTGCAAAACCTATTTTTAATGCACCAAGTTCTCACCATGTAAAATGATCGCGACCTGGCAAAGCTTCATTTTTGCCTCTGCAGAGTTTGTTGCACTCGGTTTGTTAAGAAGCAGGTTTTGTGCTTCAACCACTTCTAAAAAAAAAAAAGGTGACAAATTGTGTCACCTCCTTTTTGGTCAAAGCCACAAATTGAAAAGAAGAGTCATGGGTGATTAAGTGGGTGGGGTTAGTTCTGAGGCTGCAGGGTTCGTGGGCAAGAGTGTGTTGAAAAAATAACTTGACCTGAAGTAAATGCATTAAAAAGCTTTATATTTTTGCATTGTTTTATACTGTATTTCTTTTGTATTTTAGACACAGAAAGAGGAGAACTTTTTCAGGACTTTCTCATTCAGACATTTTAATCATGTTTAATGAAATGATAATGTTTAAACAGGTCATGAAAAATGTTTAGGTTTACAAGGAAATGACACACATATGAAAGAAAACGACATTTTAAAAGATTTAAAAATGTTATTCTGTTTTCCCCTCGACAAAAACATACCCAGAATTGTATTTTGTTTCATTCACATGTTTATTTAATCCATTAATTCAAAGTCGTCTTCTCTCAACACTCAAAAATGTTTATTATTATTTTGCCTGGATTGTTGCGTCACATGTAAAAATATTCCCGACATATTCAGCATCACTTTTGACATGACTGGGTGTAGTCAGAGGCTTTGATCAGCAGGGGGCGGTGTTGCTGCTGGGTGGGGGCTGTGGGTGGAGGGAGCTGTAGATGTGGGTGTGGTCTCTTGTGTCTGCACTGAGACTCTGGTAAGTGGAGTCTGCAGGCTCTGAAGGGGGAGCTGGACAGTTCTCGTACATCACAACCTAAAAATACAAGAGACACGTGAGAATAAAAAGTGAGATGTGAAGTGCTCAAAGCCTTTACTTCTACTCAACACTGGTTTTCATGTTTAGTGTAAAAGAGTTCATGTGATTTAAGTCACAGATATAAGAGGTTTTGACTGTAATAATACACAACGTGACACAATGATGAGTCCATTTTCATTCTCAGCCCTTGACATCTTCATCAGATCCAGTGTAAATATGTAAACCTCACCTCATCATTTGCTTCATTCTCTGCAAATACAAACATGGACAGTGAACAGATTGTGGATTGATCAATTCATATTTCAGATGAGCAAATACATTTCCTCATTGGCCAAAAATATTTTCTCTTACCATTTTGTACTTTCCTTTTTCTGTAGAAGACCAGTGCACACAGTGTGATTAGGACCACAGGATCAGAGTCAACAGCACAGAAACCTGGACACTGGACAGAAAAGAGACTAATCAATCAACAGCAGACAGAACGTTTTTAAAAGCTTTTCAAGAGATTGAATGATGTTGGGGAACATTTCTGGACACTGAAAAGTAACTTAAAAAAATAACAAATAAACTGTGAACTGAATCTCACATTTTATTACAAATATGTCTAAATCTTGTTTTATCTCTTTATTGTGTCCCACCTCTAGACTCATGTGATGTAATGTCACATCACAAAAGATCAGTTGGAAAAACTCAGACAATACAAATAGAGAAGGATCAATAACACAAGTGTCCAGCCTCCAGCTGCACATCTCCACAGTACCTGATGGTTTTGTCTGCTGCTCATGATCAGAAGATGTTGTGGACTGTTGTGTTGTAGTCACAGACATGAGTGAAGTCTGGTCACCTGTTTGTACAGTCAGGTCCATATCAGTGGTGGGTTTCACAGTGACTGTAGGTTCTGGTTGAAGAGTATAAGTTGGATTTAAAGCTGCATCTGAAATTTAAAAAAAAGATAACGTTAGAAAGAAAATGTTATAAAACTGCTTTTGTTGCTTTTGAAAATGTTTAGAATTGATTATAAGATACATACTTTTTGTGACTTTAATCCTAAATTCATGGATTCCATCTATTATGTTTTCTTTCCAAAACACACTGGTATCGTCCGGTGTCAGATTTGGTCACATTGGTGATGTTCACGTACATGATATAACGATTCAATAAACCTTTGTTACTCATATTTAATGCAGTATCTTCCTTCACATCTCTCATTTTCTGAAGTCTTGACCAAAATGTTTTCTTCTTTGTCACAGTTATTTTTACAGAAGATCTTTGTGTGTCCATCCAACTTAAATGTACATCCAACTGTGATGTTTCCTCCTTCAGCCGCCTCATAAACTCCCTCTGCTCTGATGAAACCAGACAGTCCATACAGCACTGTTCACAAAATATATGCATTTTTTTACGTGATACCAAAAACACAAATATATGTCACATTTACTTTATTTATTTATTCTGAATTATACAGGATTGATGAAATAAAGTTACATATAAAATAGTTCTAGTTTATTTGAACACATTTAAAGGAACTGGATGGAGCCTCTTACTGTTCTAGAAACATACTACACTCACTGCTGCTGCTCTAACCTGCACATAGAAGACACATACAAGCTCTTCTCCTTCTCACTATATGGACAGAACATGTCTCATGTGAAAAGTCAGAACCTCCAGAATTCCCTCACTGAGCTGCAGAAGCTGCACTAGCACCGACTCATGATGCTGCAGGTTCTGGGGTTTAGGTTGTGATGATTCAGATCAGAGAGGCATTTTAGGTTTAAACCAACTGGATTTCAGCACTGAAACTGGCAACACAAATGAGTCCAGACGACCACCGCTGAAACCTTCTCTACACTGAACCACGAACGAACGAATCAGGGATCACACAAACACACAAGATTATAACATGAACAACTTGGCCCTCATGTCCAGTGTTTTTGTCATTAAGAATAAATCAATCAGCTTTACATTTGTTACCAAGTTTAAGACAAGAAATCAACTGACAATCTCACATACAGTTCCTTTAAAACGTTTTAGAAAACAATAAACAACAGAAAAACAAATACAGCCTGTGTGCACCTCCCCCCGTTTCACAAAGTTACAGTAAAAAGCTGCTAAACTAAAGCCAAATCTGATCATTTTATGGAATACAGTTTTGCAAAGATAAAAGTTTAAAGGTATAGATCAGTTTAGTCAGAAAAGGTCAGTGTAACTCACCGAGAAACAGGAGAACAGCCACACAGAGCCTCATAGTTGTTCTTTTATTTGCAGAGACGTTTATAATGCTGCTGTCTGCTCTAACACTTTATCTAAACAGGAACAACTGGGCAACTTAATGTGTAAGGCCAGTTTGATCTTACACGATCACACTTCCTTAAAACGGGGCTATTTTTTCTATGATATTATCTGCTAACACACAACATACAGTCTTTAGATCAACATGTTACCTTTTATTGCTTTGAAAACTCTATATGAAAATTTTGTCATGTGTCCATATTTGCTGTTTTTTTTGTCCTTCTTGCAAAACCTATTTTTAATGCACCAAGTTCTCACCATGTAAAATGATCGCGACCTGGCAAAGCTTCATTTTTGCCTCTGCAGAGTTTGTTGCACTCGGTTTGTTAAGAAGCAAGTTTTGTGCTTCAACCACTTCTAAAAAAAAAAAAAAAAAAGGTGACAAATTGTGTCACCTCCTTTTTGGTCAAAGCCACAAATTGAAAAGAAGAGTCATGGGTGATTAAGTGGGTGGGGTTAGTTCTGAGGCTGCAGGGTTCGTGGGCAAGAGTGTGTTGAAAAAATAACTTGACCTGAAGTAAATGCATTAAAAAGCTTTATATTTTTGCATTGTTTTATACTGTATTTCTTTTGTATTTTAGACACAGAAAGAGGAGAACTTTTTCAGGACTTTCTCATTCAGACATTTTAATCATGTTTAATGAAATGATAATGTTTAAACAGGTCATGAAAAATGTTTAGGTTTACAAGGAAATGACACACATATGAAAGAAAACGACATTTTAAAAGATTTATGTTTATAAGATGTTTGAAGAAGTTTGAGGAACAGTTTGAAGAACAGAACGTCCACATGTGCACATTTAGGTCCAAAACATTTTGGGTTGTTCATAAATATTTTTTGTAAATCATTATTAAATTGTGACTTTATTATTTCCATCAAAATGATTCAAACATCAGGTGAATATTTTATAAATCGTCTGTGGACAGAGAATCGTAAAAATATAATAAAAATATATAAATCTTTGTTTTGCCTCGTCAGGTCCAATCAGCTCAAATAACAAAGAGACTCAATAAAACCAGAAGAGTTCAGGCTTCAGGTTTCAGGAGGAGGTAGAAGTGACGTCTCCTCTGATGTTTCCACCAGGGGGCGACACCGGACGCTCCTCACACCTGAGCACCGACACTGGAGTTTATCAACCAGTGAAGACAAACTGAGCTCACACTCTGAGGTCCAGTCCTGGTCTGGTTCTGTCCTGGTCCGGTCCTGGTCCGGTCCTGGTCCGGTCCTGGTCCGGTCCTGTTTCAGTTCTGACTCAGATCCGGCTCGGGGACAAAGGCGGACTGTCCCGGAGCAGCTGGGAATGTGCCGGGTCTCAACTGTTACCATGGAAACACAAGTCAGGAACTGGAATACAGTTTAGAATATTCCTCTGGACTAAACCTCGACTGAACCAGGACCAAACCAGAACCAAACCAGGACTAAACCAGGACTAAACCAGGTCTTGTTTGTGGGTAAAATGAGTAAAACTTTTCTTTTCTTGTTTTTTTTTTTTTTACAGTGTGTCCTTTTGTTGTGAGTCATTTTTTTTTTACAGTGCACAGTCTGAACCAGACCAGACCAGACCCGGACCCCGGACCCAACTAAACAGAACTAAACAGATAAACCATAAACCAAACAGGACTAAACAGGTCTTCTAAACCAGGTCCTGGACTAAACCAGGACTAAACCACCAGGACTAAACCAGGACCAGGTCTAAACCAGGAGGAAACTAAACCAGGTCTAAACCAGGTAAACCAGGCTAAACCAGGACTAAACCCTAAACCAGGTCTAAACCAGGTCTAAACCAGTCTAAACCAGGTCTAAACCAGGTCTAAACCAGGACTAAACCAGGTCTACACTAGGGTTAAACCAGGACTAAATCAAGACTAACCCAGGACTAAACTGGGACTAAAATAGTCGGCCTTTCACCAGAATAGTTCTCTGTGTATCCTGTGTGTGTGTGTGTGTGTGTGTTGTGTGTGTGTGTGTGGTGTGTGTGTGTGTGTGTGTGTGTGTGTGTGTGTGTGTGTGTGTGTGTGTGTGTGTGTGTGTGTATGGGAGGACAGTAGTACACACACACACACACACACACACACACACCTGTTGGATGTGAGGTCTTGTGGTCTCGTTCGGTCCAGGACTGGGACTAAAAAACGGTCCTGGACTTTTTTCACAGTTTGGCCCCGAGACCCGAGGGTCTCAAGATTTTACTCGAGTAAATGTGTCAGTGTGTGAATCATCTCATCACATGTACCAGTGTGTGCTCGGAGTTGTGTGTCAGTTGTGTGTCTGTCATGTGTCAGTCGTGTGTCTATTGTGTGTCAGTTGTGCGTCGGAGTTGTGTGTCAGTTGTGTGTCTGTGGTGTGTCTGTTGTGTGTCAGTTGTGTGTCTGTTGTGTGTCAGTTGTGTGTCTCTGTGTGTTGTGTGTCAGTTGTTTGTGTCAGTTGTGTGTCTGTGTGTTGTGTGTCAGTTGTGTGTCTGTCGTGTGTCAGTTGTGTGTCAGTTGTGTGTCTGTTGTGTGTCAGTTGTGTGTCAGTTTTGTGTCAGTTGTGTGTCAGTTGTGTGTCAGTTGTGTGTCTGTCGTGTGTCAGTTGTGTGTCAGTTGTGTGTCAGTTGTGTGTCAGTTGTGTGTGTCAGTTGTGTGTCAGTTGTGTGTCAGTTGTGTGTCTGTCGTGTGTCAGTTGTGTGTCAGTTTTGTGTCAGTTGTGTGTCAGTGTGTTGTGTAGTGTGTGTCGTTGTGTGTCAGTTGTGTGTCAGTTGTGTGTCAGTTTTGTGTCAGTTGTGTGTCAGTTGTGTGTTAGTTGTGTGTCTGTTGTGTGTCAGTGTGTCAGTTGTGTGTCAGTTGTGTGTCAGTTTTGTGTCAGTTGTGTGTCAGTTGTGTGTCTGTCGTGTGTCAGTTGTGTGTCAGTTTTGTGTCAGTTGTGTGTCAGTTGTGTGTCAGTTGTGTGTCAGTTGTGTGTTGTTGTTGTGTCAGTTGTGTGTCAGTGTGTGTCAGTTGTGTCAGTTGTGTGTGACAGTTGTGTGTCAGTTGTGTGTCAGTTGTGTCAGTTGTGTGTCAGTTGTGTGTCTGTGTTGTGTGTGTCAGTTGTGTGTCAGTTGTGTGTGTTGTGTGTCAGTTGTGTCAGTTGTGTGTCTGTTGTGTGTCAGTTTTGTGTCAGTTGTGTGTCAGTTGTGTGTCTGTTGTGTGTCAGTTGTGTGTCAGTTTTGTGTCAGTTGTGTGTCTGTCGTGTGTCAGTTTTGTGTCAGTTGTGTGTCAGTTGTGTGTCAGTTGTGTAACAGAACAGAACGACACAAGGACACGGAGATGAAGAAAACTGGGACATTTTCTCTCTTTTTTTTTTTTACATATTGTCAAAGTTGCGGCCGAGAACAGAGGACGTCTCCAAGTCTCGTCGCAGGTTTCCAAACGTCTTCCTGGTTTTAGTCTGAACAGAAAATATTCAGCTCACGATGAAAAGATGCACCGGCCCCGAAGAGTCTCCCCAGAGTCTGGAGTTTACCAGAACCTCCAGATCTGCAGTCGCCCCTGAGCTCAGTCACATCATCAAAAGAAAAAGAAAAAGAAAAAGAAATCTGATCTGTGAACAAGAAGGAGCGCGCACGGATCAAGAGACATGTGAGTGTGTGTGTGTTGTGTGTGTGTGTGTGTGTGTGGAGCTCAGACTGAAATGAATCAGGTGACACACACTGGCTCAAATATAGAAAGACACAAATTGTTTAAAATAAATCTCGTTTAAACACAAAAACAAAACGTTGGGAGTGTTTGTTTGTTGAGGATTAAACCTGGACTCCGTCTGGTCCACGAAACGAAACCAGAGACAAAATGAGTCTCACTCCTGGATTCATCTGAGTCACGATGAACCAAAACAAACACAAAAACATTTAGACTTCGACAAACTTTACTGATCCACAAAAGGAAACACAAAAAGGAAACACAAAAAGGAAACACAAAGACACGACAAAAAGAATCTGAGGACTGACAGGACACAGGGTTTAAGTAAAGATTTGTTCCTAAATGACACAGATTCTCCGCTCACACTCAGGGGCGGCGCCACCGTGAGGCAGAAGGAGGCGGCGGCTTAGGGCCCCAAACCTGGAGGGGCCCCAAACCAAACGGCCGAGGCCTCAGAGAAGTTTGAGTTCCTCTTAATATGACATTAAACAATGGTATTTTACTTTTAAACAGTAATCATCAAAAAAATAATAATCATCAAATATAACGGACAGAAACAAAAATGTACCATCAAAACATGTTTATTTCTTTAAGTTCTGGTTTTCTAGTCGGTGAATGAATGAATAAGACAAATTTCCAGTTCACCAAAATTCAAATAAACAGAGACGTTTGTGTTTCAAGAACAACGGGAAAAAACTGAAAATAAATATATTAAAAAACAAAACAAAATCATCAGTGCATTTATAGTGCAGGTCCCAAACTCAAGTTCCCCCAGAGCAGACATGTCAAACTCAGGCCCAGGGGCCAAATTTGGCCCAAGATATAATTATATTTGTCCCTCGAGATCAAATCAAACAAGTATTAGAGCTGCTGCTGCTGCACACAGAGAGACTCTAGACACATGATTTATTTAAAATACTGTTATTATTTTATATTCTGTTTGTTGTGGATTCAATGTTTAAGTAAAACTATTATTAAACTTTTAATTGAATAAGAAAAAATTGAACATTACAAATCCCAAAAGAAGAGAAAACACAGAAACAACAGAAAACAATAAATATTTAGTTTGTCTCAAAACTTAGTCCCTTAGTTTTTTGTTTTTTTTTATTTTGGTCTCTGTGAGTTTGAGTTTGACTCTCCTGCCCAGGGGCCCCAAATCACAAACTCCGCCCCTGTTCACACTGAAGGAGCTCGAACCACAGATTGAGAAACACTCCTCAGTCTTTTTGTCTCACAGAAGAATGTTTAGTTTAGTTTAGTCTGAGGTTAGTTTAGTTTAGTTTAGTTCAGTTTAGTTTTAGTTTAGTTTAGTTTAGTTTAGTTTAGGCTGAGTTTAGTTTAATTTAGTTTAGTTTAGTTTAGTTTAGTTGAGTCTGAGTTTGGCCCCTGTGGGACTGAAGCGGGATATTTTACACCAACTGTAGCCGCAGCAGAGACTTCACAGGCCGCAGACGCACGGAGCAGGTGGAACCAATAACCCCCCCCCCCCCCCCCCCCCCCCCCCCCGTGCCCCCCGCCCTCAGGCTACGCGGCTCTGAGGCTCCGCGGCTCCGCTCCGGGATCCAGCTCGGGCTTTACCCACCTCCACCTCCACAAACAGCGGCAACAAGTGGAGCCGAGCGGAGGAGCCTGAGGACGGGTCTGCCCCACCGCCGCGTACTGCCCCCTCTGCCCCCGCACCACCTCCACCACCACCACCACCACCACCTCCTCCTCCTGCCCTTCCTCCTCCTCCTCCTCCTCCTCCCGAGCGCAAAACACAGCCTCACCTCCTCACTCTGCACACGCCGCGGACACAAGTGGAACTAAAACCCCCCGGAGCAGAAGCGACGATCCCGGGACAAGACCCACGACTCCCCGCGTCACATCCACCGACTCACCGACGCACCGACCCACCGACCGAACCACCGAACCATCCCCACGGTAAGAGGCACAAACCGCGTGCGTAAAAGTGATCTGCGTGGACCGAGCCGCCGGGGACAGAGCGGAGTTTAAAGTTTGGAAACAGGATCGCGGACAGAAATACGCAGCGAGGTCATTTTTAGAAATGTTTTTAAAGACTTTCTCCGCGTCTGAACCCGCGATTCCACTTTTTAAACCGCTCTGCCCCCCCCCCCCCGGTCCCGCGGCTCCGTGGTGGTCCCGGGGCGTAACGTGTCCGCTGTGTCCGCAGGTCCCGTCCCCCGTGTGTCCCCCGTGTATGTGTCCCCTGGAGCCGCTGGAGCCGCTGGAGCCGCTGGAGCCGCTGGAGTCCCGGAGCATGTCACCGCGGGGTCCGGCAGCGCGGGGTCCGGCCCTCCTCGCGCTCCTGTGGGGTAAGTGCGCGCGCGGTGCCGCTCCTCCTCCGGGACCTGCACCGAAAAAAAGAAAAAAAGAAAAAAGAAAAAGTCCACAAACATCTTCAGAAGTGACGCACTGAACCGGAGCAGAACCGGATCAGTCTGAACCCGCGGGCCCGGGGTTCACGCGCGGGTCCCGGGGTCTGTCAGGCGCTGCTCCGGTGCTTCAGTCCGGGGTTAGACCAGGTTTAGTCCTGGTTTAGACCTGGTTTAGTCCTGGTTTAGTCCTGGTTTAGACCTGGTTTAGTCCTGGTTTACCTGGTTTAGAGTTTAGTCCTGGTTTAGTCCTGGTTTAGTCCTGGTTTAGTCCTGGTTCTGTTTGGAGCTTTAATCTTCTCATGTTCCTGTTCCTTTTGTGTTTTGTTTGACTGGTTCTTTATTATTCAACTGTCCACATCTCCAAACGCCCTGTTCCACCTTGTGATGTCATCAAGTCAGAGATTTAAACTGAACAGCTCCTTTTACCTTCTAAACCAGGACTAAACCAGGACTAAACCAGGTCTAAACCAGGACTAAACCAGGACTAAACCAGGTCTAAACCAGGTCTAAACCAGGACTAAACCAGGACTAAACCAGGACTAAACCAGGACTAAACCAGGACTAAACCAGGACTAAACCAGGACTAAACCAGGACTAAACCAGGTCTAAACCAGGACTAAACCAGGACTAAACCAGGTCTAAACCAGGACTAAACCAGGACTAAACCAGGACTAAACCAGGTCTAAACCAGGACTAAACCAGGACTAAACCAGGTCTAAACCAGGACTAAACCAGGACTAAACCAGGACTAAAACCAGGACTTAAACCAGGTCTAAACCAGGTCTAAACCAGGTCTAAACCAGGACTAAACCAGGTCTAAACCAGGACTAAACCAGGTCTAAACCAGGACTAAACCAGGACTAAACCAGGACTAAACCAGGACTAAAACAGGTCTAAACCAGGACTAAACCAGGACTAAAACAGGAACTAAACCAGGACTAAACCAGGACTAAACCAGGACTAAACCAGGACTAAACCAGGTCTAAACCAGGTCTAAACCAGGACTAAACCAGGACTAAACCAGGTCTAAACCAGGACTAAACCAGGCTAAAACAGAACTAAACCAGGTCTAAACCAGGACTAAAACAGGACTAAACCAGGACCAGGACTAAACCACTAAACCAGGTCTAAACCAGGACTAAACCAGGACTAAACCAGGTCTAAACCAGGACTAAACCAGGACTAAACCAGGACTAAACCAGGTCTAAACCAGGACTAAAACAGGACTAAACCAGGTCTAAACCAGGACTAACTAAACAGGACTAAACCAGGACTAAACCAGGTCTAAACCAGACTAAACCAGGTCTAAACCAGGACTAAACCAGGACTAAACCAGGTCTAAACCAGGACTAAAAACAGGACTAAACCAGGTCTAAACCAGGTCTAAACCAGGACTAAACCAGGTCTAAACCAGGACTAAAACCAGGACTAAACCAGGTCTAAACCAGGACTAAACCAGGACTAAACCAGGTCTAAACCAGGACTAAAACAGGACTAAACCAGGACTAAACCAGGACCAAAACAAAACTAAATCAGCTTTAAACATAACTTCTCTCCACATAAATATTTTATCTGAAATAATAAAAACTTTACAAAACAAAACAAATCAATATTTTAAACTAAATGGATCAAGAGAGGAATAATATTTATGCAGGATTATTTCATGTTCTATGTAATAAAATCTTTATTAGTCGACATAATTCAGTACTGGTGATCAAAAACTCAACAACAACAAACAAACAAACAAACAAACAAACACGTCAGGAACAGTTTTAAACTCTCAGTTAAATGGTTCCCAAGTGTAAAAGTCGATGAGTAAAACACGACTAAATCTCTTTCAATTCTGCATCAACAAGATTCAAGAATCACACTGGAAAATAATTCACCAAATCTCCCCAAATAATTTACTCAGGTCCAAACTCACGTCAAGTCTAGAAAAATTTTACCTGCAAAAAAACAAATGAACAAAATCAAAGTGAATATTTCATAAACTGGTTCATTCTGTTGGGAAAATGTCACATCCATAAATCCAAACTCTCCAATTCCAGACTCTGATTTAAAAATTCTCTTCAAACTCTAAACAGTTTTTCTAACGTTAAATCTAAAAACACTCAGTATTACAGAAGAATTAGGATTTTATTTTTAATTTCCTCCGTTTTTTGTGTGTAAAATGATCTGCCTCAGTTTAAGTTCACATGGATGTTAAACCTGTTGTTGTTTTATGTTCTCAGGTTCTTTTTTTCAGACCCAGAGTTTGTTTTCCTCCTGACAGTTTGTTCTGCTCCTCTTCCTCTTGGTCTGGTGATGTTTCTGTGTCGTGGCTCAGTTGGTTTAAACAGGTTTTGTCTGTGTCTTGGTCTCGGTGGAGGCAGGACGACAGCGCCACCTGCAGACGCACTTCCTCAAGACACAATCCAGGAGTGTGAAAAGAAAAAAGACCCTCGTGATGGTTTATTTCTGTATTTCAATTTCCTCTTGAATCTTCCACCGAGACGAAGACACAGAAACATCACCAGATCAAGACGAAGACACTGAGGAAGAGGAGCAGAACAAACTCTTGGTCTGAAAAAAGAACCTGAGAACAGAAATGATCGGAAAACCAAATGAACCTGACTGGACAATTACGCTCTGTTATTGTTTTGTTTTGGCTTTAAAGTTTGTATGGAGGATTTTTTATTTTTTTTTTTAGTTTCAAATTGTCAGTGAAAGTTTAAAATACTGTTACAGAGAAGCAGCAGCTTTGTAATTATGATGACCAAAAAAAAACAAAAACAAAAAGAATGAAAATCTATCAACTGTGGACGTGTTGAGGCCAGATAAACATCAGCCAATAGAAAACGAGGCTGCCTCATTTTCTATTGGCTCTTAGGTTGTCAATCAAACTCTCTACGATTCTAGTGTAACTGAGTCGTCGGCGCGTGAGGATTTTGTGTTTTTTGCGGCGGTTCTTAGAGGCTTTTTCAAACTGTCGCTTCCTCGCAGTTCGTACAAACTTTGATGCGATGTCGGACGAGAATCTATGACCAGTTCGCCGCAAAAGAAAGTCGGTTTCTGAGGTCGATGAAAGAAGAAGAGAAGGAGAAAAGGAGCGAAGACAAACTGAGGTGATTCTTGGAGATTCTTTCCAGCGACGGCGCGAATGAAGCAGACGAAGAATCTGTGTGTCGTTCGTTCATTCGTTTTTCAATATAAAACCAAAAATAAGAAAACGAAAAAACAACAGTTTTCTTCATTATTTGTCTCCAAAACCAAAATGAAAGTTTCAGTTTCAGTTTTCAATTTTGTGTTTAAATGAAGAATGGAAAAAACGGATAACGGCCGTTTACCGTTTACGTGACGTCTGTGACTGTGATGCCGAACATTTACACTGCATACGGACTGAACCAGGACTGATCCAAGTCCGAGACCAACCGGGACCAGAGCAGGACTGAGACCAGGACAGACTGAGACCAGACCGGACCAGACCGGGACCAGACCGGGACCAGACCGGGACCAGACCGGGACCAGACCGGGACCAGACCAGAGGCTCGGAGTCCGCCCTGGTCCTGCTCTGGTCCCGGTTGGTCTCGGACCTGGATCAGTCCTGGTTCAGTCCGTATGCAGTGTAAATGTTCAGCATCACAGTCACAGACGTCACGTAAACGGGAAACGGCCGTTATCCGTTTTTTCCATTCTTCATTTAAACACAAAATTGAAAACTGAAAAAACGAATCGTTCTCTGTTTTTTCATGTTGGTTTTAGAGACAAATAATGAAGAAAACTGATATTGAAAAACGAAAATGACGATGAACGACTGACACACGGATTACGAAGAGTCTAAAAACTGAAGCGTCGGTCGCTGAATTATTTCTAGACAGGAAACTTCAAGAGTGATTCTGAACGAGGCTGTAAACAAACGTGATTTGTAGAGTAAAGAGGCGGGAGGAGGAGATGTTTCTACTGAGGCTGTGGAGGAGGTGGAGTCACACGTGCACAAGGACGGTCGCTGTATTTCTCTTCCCTTAAAAAATCCTCCTCTATAGTCGAGTTTCAGATGACGTCATTGTTATTAAAAGTGCACGTTGCTGCTGGGAAATATTCTGGTCGGAGGCAGAAACACGGTAGCGTCAAACACAGTGTGTAACCTCGTGTATTTCTCCCTGATAATGGTAAATTCCTGCTGCATTATCATATTATCGTCTTCTGAGTGAAAAGAACCACTAACGGTGAATTAAACGACTTTCAAACATCCGCAGAGCAAACGTAGAAGATCCTAACAAACCTGGACTCAACAAGTTCAACAACACATCCAGACTCTTGGAGGTTTTCATCTTTTCTGCTGTGAACGGCCCAGGAGTTTCACCAAGTCACTGTGGATGTCAGGGCTGGTTTCATTAAGAAGCTGCCGATACGATACATATTTCGATACAGTGAACTTACAATTCAATACGATATATTTCAAATTGATTCGATACCGTTCAATAAAAATAAAGGCTAAATCATGTCTGTGATACTAAAAGTCTTTGTTAAACCACTTCTTTTTGTGCAAAGTTCATATGAAACAAAAACATTTTAATCCTCAAAACTGTGAAAATGTCAAATGTGTCGCATGCACTGCAAAAAATTAAATCTAGCCAAGTTAAGATGACCTGAATTAAGAAAGTTTGATCATGATTTGAGTAAATTCCACTTGACAAGTTAAATGATCTGTCAGCGGAATACGATTTTTTGTTCTTAAAATATGAAAATACAACTTGCTACTCTTAAAAAAAGAAAAACACCAACCCTTAAAAGAAGAAATGAAATTGAATTTAGAAAAACACTTATTCCACCGGTGGAGTCGACTCAAATAAAGTCAAATGTTCTTAATTTTCATTTTAACGAACCTTTTTACTGTGTGAATGAGTTTCCTTCCACTAAACAAACAACAAAACTGTAGCTCTGTAACAAAATAATTT